GAAATTAAAAATAAAAATAAATTTGAAAAAATCTAAATTGTAAGATGTCTAATTTCCTCCAAAGACAAATAACCTACAATTAAAGGACACTTTTTTCTTTGGGTCTCAGGAGGATATTATGTTTGTTTGATTCTATATTTCTATTTCAGAGAGCTAGAGCTGCGTTTACATAATGATCATGCCTGTTTTGAATATACACTGATGATGGCCATTTTTCTGTGTTGATTTTTAACAAGGATTTAATGAAGTGCATGGTCTAAAGAAATCAAGCTAATATACGTTATATGCATACAAGTATTGAGACACCTGGCCATTACACCTACAGGAACTTCTATGACATCCCATTCTAAATCCATAGGGATCAGTATGGAGTTGCCCCCCCTTTGCAGCTATAACAGCTGCCACTCTTCTGGGGAGGCTTTCCACAAGATTCTGGAGTGTGTCTGTGGGACTTTTTGCCCATTTATCCATTGTGAGGTCAGGCACTGATGTTGGATGTGAAGGCCTGGCTCACAATCTCCATTCTAGCTCATCCCAAAGGTGTTCCTTGGGGTAGTCAGGTGTCCCAATACTTTTGTCCATATAGTGTATATAAAATAAGTTGAGGTTTTAAGGAAACATCAAAATATAGGAAATGACAGACAGAGTTTCAAGCTATGAGCTATGAGCGAGGTATCGGAGAGTATCATTGCAAAAGCTTTAAGCTAGTTATAAACACAGCAATGGATACAGGGTAACCAAACATGGGGGGTGAGCCTCCGGCTTATTGGTGCACATCTCTTTTGATCTGCGAATCACGATGAAATATGACAAGCGATGATTTAAAATGCATAGGTTGGCGCCGGCTCAGATGGAGCTGTCTCCAAGGAGACGTCTACACCTGCGTTCCGGCGCTCACAGGAGAAAGGTGACAGCTGCAGTTATTAGCAAAAGTCCAAGCTGATGCCTCCATTGCTTTGAAAAGGAGGCTAACAGTCAATAGCGATTGCGGTCAGACGTTTGGAGAAGTCGTCAAGGCTCGGTGTTTAAATCCATTTTCGTTTATCTTTTTTTCATACTGGGGGGGTGTGTGGGGGGGGGGGTGATTTGGCTGACATGCTTCAGTAAGATTATCCCCGCTGTATGAAAGCCATGCCGCTTGCTCCAGATAACGACGCCAACTGCTAAACTTTATTTTGAATATTTACATTAAGCTGCAGCTTCAGCGTACCACAAAGAAACCATCTTGGCTAATAGCTGATGTGGAAACGAACGGAGTTTGAGACGGGAGGGTTCTACAGTCGCCCTGGAAACCAGAATCCGCCAAATTAATGCAGAATGTGATGGACTGCATGGCATGATTGAAGAACATACCCCCATCCTAGTTCCAGATTGGCATCTGGCGATGGAGACAGCGCTTTTGGCATGAACAGTGTCCCCATCCCCATCCGCTGTGCCCATCCTTATCCATTATAAGCAGGGCTCTGGAACATTCTGATGGGGGGAGGGGAGTTTGTCTGTCACACCCTGACTTCTGACCCTTGTGGCATCGCTGCTGTTCTGTGTCGACGTTGCTGGTCTTCGTTGATTGTTTAATCAGAGGCCGGCAATCTAAGGAGAACCACAATCAGCCCCCGGGGGGGGGGGGCAGAAACCCATTCATACACATTCTTCTGGAGTAGCTGGGTGGCCAAGAAACGCTCGGAGACAAAATCACATAATTCCACAATGCAGGCCGCCATTTTTTTCCAGTTACTTCTCTCCGTCCAAATGAATGTTAAAATAAACTGTTTAATTGTGTTCGGCTGCATAATCAGCGTTGTCGATCTCCCCCGCCACCTCTCAGGCAGATAATGAACGGCTTTGTTTCCACACGTGGAAATCACGAAGCAAAAAAATGACTTATTCATTATCTTCTGCAAAATGAATAAGTGTGCCTTTGATCAGTTAACCGTAGAGACAACTGCTCTCTTCTTGCCTCCACGAGACAAGAAAACAATTGATCCACAAATTTTAGTTGTCTACTCTTTCATTAAAAGTACAGTCATTTGACAGTGTACAAAGCAGCAAGTAATAATTTCTTATCTCATATTTATTAATGAAAATAACCTCAGGGTTAATTTAATTCGGTAGTATCTACGAAAATGCATCTTGTGAAAAGACCCGCGATGTGAACTACAATGATGAAAGCCCGTCATTCTCTTGCCTGTGCTGCTACGGAGCCCAGATAATTTTGAGGATCGTGGGGAGCACATCTGAAACGGGGGTGTCACCCAGCTGGCAACCGGAAGATTCTCTGGGGCCAAATCTCGCGATTCCGCACTTGCGGCCCCCGTTTGGGGTGCTGCCTCGGCTAATGAGGTTTACTTCGAAGATGGGAGGACGTTACAGCTCCATTTGTCGGTTTACGGCCGAGCCCGGCCACACGCATCATTGCACCATAAGGAAGCCTCGGCCTGAAAGTAATTAAATCGATATGTTTAATAATAAGAGCCGCGCGGTGCGGCTAATGCAGATCCACAGATGGTCTTTTCATGGTTTTCTGTCTCTCTCTCTCTCTCTCTCCGCTCCTGTGCATTTTGGGATGAAGCGCTGCTGCAGCACTAGTGAAGGGGCCGGGAGTGTTGGGGTTGGGGGGGGTAGGGGGGCTCGCCAGACGCCGGTGGATGAGCGAAGCCGTGGCACTCCCCAACCCTCCC